TGACCTCTCTGCTTTTGTAGCTATGTTGGTAGAGGAGAAAGTATATATAAGTGGGATGGCTTGGTCTTCAATCTTTAGGAATTCCTAACCTAGCCCTTCCTATAAGCATTCATTTAGTTCATTACACAGTTACCCTCACAGACCAGGATATTTGCTGTTGTTTTGGAAAAGATATTTTTATGGGAAACAAAAATACTATGTGATTACAACGTAGAAGCATTCATAAGCACTGAATGTAGAAAATGAAAGTTCTTCAAAACACAGTGAGTGCTAAATTTATTGTATATTCCTGCATTTTTTGCCTGCTATACTCTGCATTTTTTTATTTATATATTTATTTATTTGAAAGGCAGAGCAGCAGAGAGTGGGGGAGAAGGAGGAATGGAGGGAGGGAGGGAGACACAGAGAGAGATCTTCCATCTGCTGGTTCACTTCCCAAATGGCTACAACACTCAGGATTGGGCCAGGCTGAAGCCAAGAGCCAAGAACTCTATCCTGGTCTCCCGCAGTGTGGCAGGGGCCCAAGCACTAGGTCCATCTGCTACTGCCTTGCAGGCACTTCAGCAGGCAGCTGGACTGGAAGTGAAGCAGCGTTCATTATGGGATGTTGGTGTCACAAGCCATAGCTAGCTTAACTCGCTGTGCCGCAATGCTGGCCCCTACATTTTTTTTAACTTTTTTTTTCCCCAAAAGCGGGATCATATCCATGTTGCTTTCAAACTTTTTTTTTTAATTGTTTTTTAACCTAACAGTATATCTTGGATACCTCTTTATATTCTTTGTAAGGGCTGTACTGCATTTGGTGAGTGTGTGTGTGCGGGGAGAGGGGGTTTGTGTCAGTCTGATAATAACATTGACTTGTCAATCAGTTCCTTTTATTGAGGTTTTTACCATAACAAACAATCCTGTAATGATTATTCTCACTCATCTTTACACTCTTTTTTTTTGTTGTTCATTTTTTTCCTGTAATACAAATTTCCAGCAATGGTATTACAAGATCAAAGGTATATATTTTTAAAGAAAGATGTCAACAGGTGTTTCCAAATGTCCTCCAAATCAATGAATTAACTTATAGACTCTCCAATAATGTATGAAAGGACACATTTCTCTTTACCCTTGCCAGCACAATCTTATCAATCATTTCAACCTTTGCCATTTTGAAAAAAAATGTCATTGGTTATTATTTTCTCATTGACTTGGAGGAATTATTTGAGATTACTTGGGATATTAGCTCTTTTTCTTAGCATGACACTTGATTGCAATGAGCATGTCTGTTGCATTTTAAACTCTTAAATCCTGCTATAAGAATTTCTCTGATTATAGAGCTATTGATGCTGCATGCAGAGTATTATGATTATTAATAATAAATGGAGATATTTTTCTTATAGTAAAGGAATTAGAGAAGTGGGCATTTGTCAGTAAAATTTATTTGGGAGATACGTTTGCTCTTTTTTAGTGCCAAAGTTGCCACTCTTCGTACATAAACCAACGGAAGAGATTAAACCTGACAAAGATCCCTCTGCCAGGCTTCCGAAAAGCTCTGTGGTTAGAAAGTTGTCCTTGTCCTAGCAGATAGCACATGCTGGGAATAGTTTATTTTCATGATTTTACTGGCCAATACCATGCTCCGCACTTAACATACATTAATATCCAGAAAAGTTAGACATTCTAATTTTATATGCAATTAGTGTTTTTCAAGTACTTCTGCATTTACCCACATAAAATTATGTTGACTATTTTTCCTTTTTAAAAGATTTATTTATTATTCATTTGAAAGGCAGAGAAGGAGAGACAAAGAGATTTTCTGCTTGCTGGTTCACACCCCAAATGGCCATAACAGCCAGGACTGGGAAAGGCCGAAGCCAGAAGCCTGGAGATACATCTGGGTCTCCCGCATGGGAATACTTGGGCCATCTTCTTCTGGCAAAAGCGCATTGGCAGGGAGCTGGATTGGACTGGAACAGGTGCCCATATGGGATGCTGGCATCACAGGTATAGCTTTACCTGCTGTGCTACAATGCTGACCCCAGATGTTGGCGATTTTTCCTGGAAGCTGTTATATTCTCTTACATAGGTTACCTCTCACTTCTTCCTCATTGTGATACATAAGGAATATGATGAAAATATACTTTTTTTTTGACAGGCAAAGTTAGACAGTGAGAGAGAGAGACAAAGAGAAAGGTCTTCCTTCCATTGGTTCACCCCCCAAATAGCCACTACAGCCTGTGCACTGCGCCAATCCGAAGCCAGGAACCAGGTGCTTCTCCTGGTCTCCCATGGGGTGCAGGGCCCAAGCACTTGGGCCATCCTCCACTGCACTCCCTGGCCACAGCAGAGAGCTAGACTGGAAGAGGAGCAACCGGGTCAGAATCCGGCGCCCCAACTGGCACTAGAACCCGGAGTACCGGCGCCACAGGCGGAGGATTAGCCTAGGGAGCCACAGTGCCGGCCGAAAATATCCTTTAAATACGTATAAATTAGACGTTAGAAAGGAAAACCTCTGGTCAAAAGTTGCAAATTGAGAGCTCACTGGGCAAATCTGCTCCAGTGACACGTCCTTCATTGTTTGGGAACTATTTTGAACAGTTACTAATGCCAAAAACTGGAGACGTTTCTACTGAGAAGCTGACAATTTTTGTCAATATGGGACTAAAGACATATTCAGTGATGAACTGGAACTACAGAGTGGCTCTTACTTTTAGGCTGAGTCAGTCATCTCCGATTTGCCGCAATTTCTGCCACTCTTTAAAGTCTTATACCTGGCCTACGCCGCTCATCCAGCTACTTTATGCAGACTGCTCTTTTTTATGTGTAGACAAACAAAAAAAACATAAAAAGACAGCTATGTGAAGAAACCCCTGAAGTTTTTCATTCAGAGATGGAAAGCATCGTTAAGTTTCTTTGCTTTATTGTTTTTCTGGTCACATCCTTCGAAAGTGGTAAGACGTTCAGATTCCTCAGAAGCCCTAACCTCCCGCCCAGAGATGGGAGCTTTCTTCTCACTTTCCCCTACAAACCATTCCACAGGCCGGTGCAAAAGAGGATGATGGGAAAGGTCTATATTTCCTGGAGCTCCACTATCTTACGCTGCAATTTCTTCAGGTCTTTCTGTACTTTATATTTCTCTAAATCCATCTTTGTCTTCTGTATTTGTTGGAGGGAGGTGAGGGAGTCGTGGATCGATTTAAATCCTGGGAGAGGGTAAGAGGATAGCTATACTGAAGCAGCGCAGCAGAATAGAGAGATAAATGTGTATTTCACAGAAGTTGCTGAGCAGAAGTTGTGCCGTAGTTGATCATCATTTAATTCAAAGCACACCAAATGCCCTGGGGACCAGCCTAAAATGTTTATGGTCCCTTTCCTGCATGTCTCCAGGATGCGTTAGCAGCAGTGTTTTAATGATATCATCATGAAAATTTAACTCCGCTCCTTCCCCTCCTCCCAAACATATTGCATTAATGAAGTGATTCCAGGTTTCAAAAGAAATTTAAAATGCCTTTTTCTTTCTGCTTTGACTACTTGTTGGAGCTTTCCCCTTTTTTAAAAAAAAAAATCTTGTTACCAAATTGATGGTGAAGACCACAGTTGAGATTCTGAAAGTCCTCTGAAGTGACCTGCTTGAAGGATCTCAACAGCATAATCCACCTGCTGCCCACCGCCCACCCCCTGCCACGCTCCATGCCCTGGGGGTCTCCCCCACCCACTCCTGCACTGTCATCTCACACAGCCAGCCACTGGTGACCGCAGGCCCATTCCTGATGGGCTGAGGCCCTTCGCGTAGTTGTTTCTCAGTGTGTTTTTATGAAAGGCACAATGGAAGAAACCATCCAGTCCCCTTGACTGGAGCTCCCACTTAGTAAAAGGCAGAAACATACAGAGGATGGCTTCTGCTCCGGCTGCCCCCGAAGCTGTGCCCATGGAATGAGTAAAACCCAACCTCTGATAGCTATGCAGAAAGCAGGTCCCCTAATAGAAGGGCCAGTTAGGCTTGGGACATGGTTCCTGGCTATATTGATTTGAGGGGAGGTGGGGGTTGTGAGCGTCAGATTCCCATGCAGCCCATTAGACTGCTGTGCCAGGAACATCCGGCAGAAGGAGACCCTGACGTCTTCCCAAGGCACAACTTGGTAGGATTTACCCACGTTCCTAAGATCCAGAGGACAGAAAATGGATTGGGACTTTCTCTTATAAAGGGACCCCTCTGACTTCTGGTAATTCCTGCAGAACTGTGGCTCCAGGCAGATGGCTGCCGCACGGCGCCGATCCCACGTCCTGCCCTTTGACAAATTAGATGACGCTAGCTCAGCTCCGCACTGCGGCCGTCAGCCCCTTAAGAACAGCAGTCAGTGTGCCGGCCTCATCTTTCTTCTTCACTTCTAAAGGTCAAGTCTCCAGGCTGACATCTGTGCAGGTTCATTACCTGCAGCTCAATGAGAGAGCCGTTGGATGGAGGCCCCTAGTTTCATGATATACCCTCAAGGCAGGTCTCAGGAATGGCCAAAGGAATTTCCAAGTCTAGCCATCCTGTGGCTCTATGATTGCAGAGCGGAGAAAACCTCCCAGCAGTGACAGGCTTATGACATTGCTAGGTGCCAAGGAAGAAGGTTAACTTACTTCATCCCTTTCTATGCTGGCCTGGCAGGGGTGGGGTGGAGCACTTTTTTCTACCGAGAGCCATTTGGATATTTATAACCTCATTCGCGGGCCATAGAGTGTTACCAACTCAAATGTTAGTCTGCTATAGATGTACTGGATTTTGAGTCCCACCTGTGTTTGCCTTGGCAGGGCCCGACCAAATGATTTTGTGGGCCTTAGATGGCCCACGGGCCTGATGTTCCCCAGCTGTGTTACAGGCTATTTGGAAAAGCCCAATTAAATAAATAAGCAGCTCTCGCATGGCAAGGTTGATCCCTGGTCATTATCTCTTAGTAGAAAACTCTGAGGAGTCAGACAGCAAGGAGAGCTGCTCTTTGCTTCGTAACAAGACAGCGTCTGCTCACCTGACTGGTACTCGGTCTGCATTTTCTCCAATTCCTCCCAGATCTGCTTCTCCATGTGGGTCATCTTTTTGGACAACTTATTTTCTATGTGCTTGGCTTTGTTGAACTCTGCTTCCTGTTTCTGTGTGTTGATGAAATTCTCTAGTTTACTTGAAAGCTGCAGCAATTTTTCTTCCATTTTATTCTCAGATTTTTCCTAGGAAAGAGATGACGAGATAAAACTCTTGCAGAAAAGGATGCTCAGGTAGAGGGATGTTCCCACGGAGGGAATATGTGTTCCCATGTTCACGCTTTCATGGTCAGCTTGAAAATTCAAACCCACAATCCTTGCATCGAAAACTGTTCACAGCCGGTATCGCGACTCACTAGGCTAATCCTCTGCCTTGCAGTGCTGGCACACCGGGTTTTAGTCCCGGTTGCCCCTCTTCCAGGCCAGCTCTCTGCTGTGGCCCGAGAGTGCAGTGGAGGATGGCCCAAGTGCTTGGGCCCTGCACCCCATGGGAGACCAGGATAAGCACCTGGCTCCTGCCTTCGGATCAGCGCGGTGCGCCGGCCACAGCGCGCCGGCTGCTGCGGCCGTTGGAGGGTGAACCAATGGCAAAGGAAGACCTTTCTCTCTGTCTCTCTCTCTCTCACTGTCACTCTGCCTGTCAAAAATAGATGGAACAAAAAAAAAAGATCTGTTCACATATGTAAGAGGTAACCCTTGGTTTGAGCTTGTTTGCTTGTGGTTTCTGGAATGGTAGATGTTATGCGAGAAAAGGGCTGTGTTGCGTAAGGTGCTTTGAGGGGTTGGAATTTTAGTGTAGTGTTGGAGAAGATGGTTTAGATCCTGCTTTCCCCACGTTGCTTGGACGAACCCCTAAGTGTTAGAAGTTCTTAGTCCCTAGACGTATATACCTTCACGTGGACGCATTTTAGCCAGAGAGTGCCCCTGCACGCCACCTGTTTATCAAAATCACCTGGAATCAGGAATCAGGAATTCCCACTTCATTGGTCCATGACGGAGTTCAGGAACTGATATTTGAAAGGGCTCCAGGAGCCCCTTGGGCTGCTAGCATCCCATTTGCAGGGCCTGGGGTGGAGTCCTGTCTTGGCTCCCGACTCCAGCTTCCTGCTACTGCGTGTCCTGGGAGGCAGCAGCTGGGGCTCAAGTACAGGGCTCCTTTCACCCACGTGGGAGACCTCAACTGATTTCTTGTCTCCTGGTTTTGGCCTAATCCAGCCCAGGCTTTGCAGGCATTTGAGGGGTGAATCAGCAAATGGGGGGTGTTCTCTTTTCTCTTTCTGTGGGTCTCAAAAAAAAATGAAAAGCTCTTTAAGAGTTTCTAACGTGCCCATAGAGTTTGGAAGCAGGACTGGGTGTGACTGGCAATTCTTTTTCCTTTGGCCCTGCCTGACTTAGGAATAATGACTGTCTTTCTCTGCCATGTTGTGGGGAGGCCCTGCCTGCAGAGGGCTCGAGGGCGTCTGGTGCTGCCTGTAACTGACAGGCCTGCCTGATTGAGGGGTGAAGGACTGGCAGGCCCGCTTGGCCGCCCCTCTGACAGCCCTTCTCTGACAGCCTCGCCTGTCTGCTTACAGTGGACTCCAGCTGGGTCTCCCGACCATATCAGCTGTTTGCCTACACAGGTCGGGGCTGGGGATGTGATTTCCTGAGCTGCCAGAAGCCCCTCTCCCTAAGTTCTAGAACCATCTTATTTGAATCACCTGCAGGGCTCGCAGTCCCTGACCACGCTGATGGCCGGCTGCTGTTCCCCGCCCCCTCCACTGGTTGCCCCGTGGGAGCTGCTGTGGGAAAAGGAAGCCCTGATGTAAACACATTTAATAGCCTCACTGCCAAAGCCTGGGGCTTATTTTACATGATCCAGTCTGGAAAAGGAGTTTTGGGAAACTTTTGCTCTACGAATGAACGGCTCTCCAGCAAGGTGGGGTGGCTGGTCGAAGCCCAAGTTGGCAAGCTGTTTGGTGCCTACACGTCGTCGCCCAGGGGGCTCGTCTAGATGCACCAACTCCAGGGGACGGAGGTAGGAATCCATGTCATTGAGCAAATCTTTGTGAGTTACTTTGGTCCAGGGAGAACACACTCTGAAATGGAGGTTTGCAGAGCTGGGGAGGGGCCAGGAGCGAGACCTCTGGGCTCCGCGTGAGTGTTAAAAAAGCATATTACCAAGCACAGTGGAGATCACTCTGCCTGCCTGTGACCTTGACCGCTCAGGATGTGGGGTGAATAGGCAGGCCGCTGCTTTAGTTCTGTAGTGAGCTGGGGATCCCTGCAAGCCAGGATGTACCGTTAACCCTCTACCTGTGTATCAGAACGCCCCCTTTCCCAGGGTGCACCTGTTTCATCCAGGACCTAGAAGGAGGGGTGTGAAATATTAAACTTCACTTGGAATTTATGTAGGGGTCAAAAAGCTTCCTGGTGGCTTCATGCAAGTGGAGGCAGCACCTCGTATGCCATAAAAGGGGCCAGCAGTGGGGGAGAGCTCTCCTCTGCTGACCGTGGCTGGAGGTGCTACTCAGGTTTTCTTTCTTCCCTCTCCCCCGACCCCTGCTCCCCCTGGGAAACCCACTGGTCCACTCATAACAGGTATATCTCCCTGTCGGGCAGCCCACACGGAAGCGTGAATGTGTGTTCACTTTCTCACCTTTTAAATAAGGTCTTGTTATGACTTTGTGCAGCTTATACCTGTCTCAACTTAGAGTGCTTATCTGTGTGTGGGACAAGAACCCGGAAAAAGGTGAGAATACACCCACGGCCGTCACAGCTGCTACCATCCGGGAGTGACGGGGCAGCTGGTGGCCCTAAGGACATCCCAGAACCCCTCACCTGTTTCTCCTGTAGAACCTTCAGGCATTCGTTTATATAGCACAGGTGGTCTTTTCTGTATTTGAGGAACTGGTTTTCGGTCCACTTTTGGTTGTTTGAAATTTCTTCATACAGATTACTTGAAAGTGAATTAAATCTGAAAATAAAACAGATTTGTTACGGTTTTAATACGTGAACGTAAACTTGAAACCAAAATTGAATGTTCGCAAAGTCTGTAGTTTTGAGCATGAGGAGGTTCCGTGCGCTTAGCATCACCTGTGTGAGAGGAGCAAGTTAAGTGCGAGGGGATTTCGAGACGTTTATAAAAAATGGAGTAGAAAGTAAGTTCATTTTTCATGCAGTTTTTTTGAAATCTGCACACAAGCGCTCTTCAGAAAGTTCATGGAAAATATGTATTATGAAAAAGCTATGCATGGATTTCAAAGTTTTCTTTGCACAAGAAAGCTTGTCTTTTCATTCCATTTTCCTTGCACTTCTTGAAGTATCCTTATATTTTCGCAGGTGATTTTCTCATAGTGAAGATGTGAATTTCAAATTCCCTTTTAGAAAAGGCAGAGGTAGGAATGGCCTCTAACCCTGCCCTTCCCCAACGAGGAAGGGCATTCTGGGCTCCTGTAGCATGATAGCAAAAACTATTAGAAGGGCAGGAACAATCCATGTTGTTTGTGATTGAAAGTATTCAGGCTTTGTTACAATATGTGGTACTTAAAGTTACCATGTTGTTTGTAGTTGAAAATTACCATGTTTGTGATTGAAAATATTCGGGCTTAGTTACAATATGTGGTACTTAAAATTATGGGGATGATTGCTCTGATGTTTTCAGGCAAGGTTAATTTAGTTTGTGCTATTTACCATCGCAAATTGCTTAACGTGAAATGGCCTATAGTGCACATACATACCTCTCCTGCTCCCTGAGACGGTGTTGGGATTAATCACTTGAAAAGAAGTTCTGTGAAATCATTTCCACTTTTAGTTAGACCCACGGCTCTCATCTAGGGGCAACTTTGTCCCTCCCAGGGGACACCGGCTAAGTTCTGGAGATAGTTTTGGTTGTCACATGTGGGAGGTGCTGCTGGCATCGAGTGGCCAGAGACCAGCGATGTCAGCAAACATGTCAGAGCGGGCAGGACAGCCCCGCCATGCGAGCTGGCCTGGTGGAAGGCACACAGTGTCCAGGCTGGGGAATCCAGATGTCGATGAAACCAAGGCATGGAAAAAGGAGGTTGGTTTTTCAGCAGTTCTTTAAGTGATAGTGAAACAGCTGAATTTGGACCTTCGTCTTTGCCAAGTCCTCACATTACTCTTGATATAGGGAGGGGCATTCTTTCACATGGATAGCATATCTTAATTCAGGTGAGTACCTGAACGTCGAAGAAGATGAAGTTGCTTTCTCTTCCTGGTCTTAATATAATCATGATTTGCAACAGCCTGATAGCTCCTGGATCTGACACATACACCCACCAACCCGTGCCTGGACCACCTCATTTTAGCCAATTATTTCCTCTAAACTGAACACTGGTCCTCAGCAAACCACTTGCTCTTGCCTTTACTTCAATTGGATTTGTGTTCAAACATCACGTGATCACAAAAGACTTTTAATTTAATGTCCTAAAAAAAGGAGCCTTTTTCCTCGCCTGACACCCCTTATTCTCTTCCCATACTTAACCTTTCTCCAAAAGTCTCCTCTCCATATGAGCTATACTAATTTGTGTGCCCTCGTCTGCACCAGCACTTAAAGCTCCATGAAAGCAAGAGTTTTGCCTTGCTCATGGCTGTGAACCATGTCTGGAAGAGAGTAAGTGCTCAATAAGCAGTTGTTGACGAAATGAACAAATGAGCCACTCTGTCCCATTAAATTGCTTCCATTAGGGCTCCTGGCAAATAGCAAAGAATACATTTATCAAGCTATGTAGAAACCTAGTTTGCTTCAGTTGTCAACTTCCTTTCCCTGTGTCCTGTGATATGTTAATTAATAGTAATGGGTCGAGGGAAGATTAAGTCCCAAGATAACCAAGAGATGGCTTGAAATTGAGAAGCTGGCATTCAGTCCTCACCCTTCCTGTGTAGATAAATAAGAGCATTTACTCTGTTGTCACTGATACAATATTAACATCCCTATGAAAGCCAACAAACCATTAACTGTGCCCATGTAATAGCTCTGCAAACGTATCTCAGTAATTGAAATACTGAAATTAAAACAAAGCCATAAAGAATGAATTACTACTTGTGATCCTTTTATTACAAGGTTTGCCTGAAATTGGAGGCTCAGTTTCTTGGGTACAATCAAAAGTCAGACTCTTCGTCTATTGGTAGTGTATTAAAACATAAAAGCCTTTTTTTTTTTTTTTTTTTTTTTGTAACAGGCGGAGTTAGAGAGAGAAAGGTCTTCCTTCCGTTGGTTTACCCCCGAAATGGCTGCTACAGCCAGTGTGCTGCGCTGATCCAAAGCCAGGAGCCAGGTGCTTCCTCCTGGTCTCCCATGTGGGTGCAGGGCCCAAGCACTTGGGCCATCCTCCACTGCCTTCCTAGGCCACAGCAGAAAGCTGGACTGGAAGAGGAGCAACCGGGACAGAATCTGGCACCCCAACTGGGACTAGAACCCGGTGTGCCAGCACCACAGGCAGAGGATTAGCCTAGTGAGCCACAGCACTGGCCCATAAAAGCCTTTTAAGAAAGTATTCTCCTTGAAAGATAAGCATAAAATAAAGGTTTATGGGAATATTTTTCTTTGCTTAGACTTTTTACCTAACAAAAGGGACATGGTTTTCTCTAGTTCTGTTAATTATAGAGTTTCCAATTGAAATGTCAACATCTTAGATGACATTGACATTTTTGTTCCCAAATCTTCTATTTTGCTGAGTGTAGGTGTATTTCTATCAGATGTAGGTTGGTAAGTATATACATAGGTAGGTAGGTAGGTAGGTAGATGAAAGCTTTAGTGTTCCTCTAAGTGCAGAAATCAGGCTTCAGTATTGGCCAGAGAGCTCACTAGCTCTATATTAACCATCACCCAGAGAGCTCACTAGTTCTATATTAATCATCACTTGTCTTAGAAGCCTTTTTATTTTTTAAGCGCTCAAATTCAGGCTATTGGTCATTTTCTTTTTTATTTAAGTTTGTATCCTGATGGAATCAGGTTAAAATCCTTCCCAAAGTCAGTTGTGAGGAAGGAAGTTATAGTGGGAATCTATAGCCCCAGCAAAGCCCAGGGCTAACAGTGGAGACAGTCTCATGGTCATGATTAACATACTTGACTGAGACGTAGCTCATCCAGTCTTACCAGTTATCTTGTGCCTCAAACCCAATTCTTGCATTCAACAATCATTTGAATGAACTTCTTATAAGAAGATGTGGAAGAGTTTCAATTCTTGGATACTGTTAAAATTAACAGGCTCTCAAGAATTTGGAGAGTGGCTTTGATCAAGTGTGAATGTGAAAGAATTAATGGCCTTTGAGCTGATGAACAGATGATCTCTCTCTCTCTCTCTCTCTGATTATATTTGGGAAAGGGCTGATGACAGACTTTGTGCTTTACTAACTTGGTGATTGAGTCTAAGATTTCAAATTTCATAGCAGAAGCAAGGAGTTAATTCCAAGAAACATTGTTACTTGGTAATTCCCAAATTGTACTTGAACTTAAATCCCAATACCTTCACAATCTGTCTCTTGGCCACCCAAGAAAATGCGATCTTTACCTTCCCTAAACTTCTGCAATGCAATTAGTTTGTTAGAAGATAGAATTGTGATCTCATGAACTGAATGAAAATGGCCTGAGTTTTGGAGCCAGACACATGCCAGCAGTGTGACTTTGGGCATATTACTGAATCTCTATGACTATAAATGTCTCATCTTTAAGTAGCAAGGAGACCCACCCCACAGGGCCAGCTGCATTGGTTAACTTGAGCAATTCAAGATCGATAGACATTTATCAATAAGTTATTTATCAATAACAACTACTACATTTACTACTTCTGCCTACTGCTATATCTCATTTAACGCAGTCTTAACTTTTATTTGAGTTCTGTTTAGCTTTTCACTGACTCATGTGGTTTCTTCCCAATTGTCTGAGGCTAGGATTATGTTTTGGATATTTCAAAATCCAACTTACATATTATAGGTGCTTAAAAATCATTGCGATTGGGTTCTATTTGTGTTTGAATGTGATGGGCACTGAATAAAAGATTAATGAAACATATCCCTGCCTTGAATAGTTTTTAAACTTTCTACTGTGGGAGCATTTTCAAAGATGCGTGATAAGATTTAAGTCCATGCATTTGCTTATTTGACCACATTTTTCTCTTTAAATCACTGTCTCCTAATAGCATCAGCAGAAAGAGCTCTCTGGGGATGACTGGCAGGTGCTGGCCTGCCAAACCCTTGTTAAAAGACGGTGGTATATCACGATGGCTGAGTCTCCAGCTATCTGAATACAAAATTGTTGACTTAGGACATTCCTTAATTGAATGCATAAGATTATTCTGGAAGGAAGAGGCTCAGTACTGGGGTCCAGTGTACATCTCTTCTGTCAGGTTAATAGCGCCAAAGACTCAAGAATTCACAAGAAAATCCCCAGATGATAATGTGGTTTCTAAGCTGAGTTTAAAACAAAAGTTTAGTTGACCACTAAGCTTGAATTTGTTCATGTTCAATTGCTTAATTAAACTGAACATTTATGTTATTAAAATGCTTTTAATAACTCCTTTGTTCAGAAACAGGAAAGAAAAGCAAATTCTAAACCCAATCTACTATAAATTTTTTTAAAAGATTTAATTAATTTATTTGAAAGGCTGAGTTTTATAGAGAGGAAGAGATACACACAGAGACACAGAGAGGCCTTCCATCTGCTGGTTCACTCCCCAAATGGTCCCAGTGGCTAGGCCTGGGCCAAGCAGAAGTCAGGAGCCAGGAGCCTCCTCCAGGTCTCCCATGTGGTTACAGGGGCCCAAGCACTTGGGTCATCATCTGTTGTCTTCCCAGGCTCATTACCAGGGAGCTGGATCAGAAGTGAAGCAGCTGGGACTCCAGCTAGTGCCCACATGGGATGTTGACTTTACCCACTGTGCCACAATGCTGGCCCCTCTACTTTAATTTTAAATTGACATATCACACAATTATAATGTTGGCATTGATTTGTATATGTTTTAAAGCTATTTGTTGGTCAAAGCCAATCTTGCTAAAAGCTAAAGATCCACCTACCAGATTAAAACATAAATGCTTGCTTTCTCTTTGAACAAAACACATTTGCAATACTTATCTCATTCGAGACGCTAAGATCCCTAATGTGAAGGAACCCTACACATTACTAAGAAAGTACTAAAAATCTCAACACAAAAATTGACCAAAGATACGAATGGGCCATTCATGGAAAAGCGAAGTCCAAGGGGGAAAGGAATGCAAACTGAAGCTGATGGTCTGAACCGAGACTCTGTGGGCGTGGCTTATAAGGAGGCATCATCTATGTGAGTAGAGCCTCTCTCTGCCTGCATGGAGCCCTAGGAACTGTGGTCGTTTAAACAAGGAAGCGAGATTCGAGAATAAGGGGTCAGTAATTTGGGTATGTGTACAGCCTTGTCTGTTTTACTTTCTCTGTAGAGTTAAGGGAAAGAGTTTTAGTTTAAGATGGGATAGAGACCAGTCTTAAGGGATAATGTAGAAAAGATCTTAAAAACCAAGGCTTGTACATCAAAATTGTTTGTAAAGATAGTTGATAATCTTGCAGAATCCATTTATATTTAACAGTGCTTGACATTGGGACATTTTAGGATACCACTGGTAATAAGTTAACATCACAATGAGCATGGCAATTCAGTTGACATTGTTCGAAGAATAACACTATTCATGTTTTTATTATGAATATTGTTTGTGTTGCTTTAGAATATTCTCAGTATCAGTTTGCTGCTTTCTTTCTTGGCCAGGTTGAAATTCCTGGGGTAGGTTTTTCTTTAATGCCAGTGCTATTGTGAGGCAAAACTCTTTGGAACACGTTGAACAGAATTCATAAATCTTGTGTTCACTTACTTGAATTCCACAAGGTCCATTTCGTGACGGAAATCTCCCTGGACCATCTTTACGTGTGCGATTTGCTCAGAACTGGAGGTCTCTATCTTCCCCAAGAGCTGCATTACCTAATGAAAACATGAGAGGGGGGATCTGTGTGTGAACAAAACCGCCAGCACTTAGAGGAACTGCCCTGTATTCCTAAAGGAGCCGGCGAGTACATTTCCACCTGCAGCGTGTCTGCGTTTGGAGGTGGGTGTTTCCCGGCGGGACTGACTCCCCATTGTGACTGCGCTATTTTCAGGAAAAGAATACCAGGGAATATTCCATTCTGCTGTCTATAATAATCTTTCAGATACCGTGCTACCTAACGATACAGCAAAGACACGATTGCCCTTAGTTTTGATTTGATTATTTCTTTTCTTGGTGCCTCCCCAGTTTTCATGTAAGCCACCATATCCTGTCCCTGCTGAACCCCCAACACACATTGGGAGACTAGTAAGTGCTCAACAAACACTTTTTGGGTGTTCAAATGCACAGTTAGGGTCTGAGGTCACCATGCCCTGGGCTGGCGTGAGATTTGGCATCAGAGATTGCCAGAGGTTCTGGACGAGAGCACAAGTGATCCACAGTGAAATGACTTAGGGTCTAAAAGGATGGGAGGAAACCAGGTCCTGTTCTGGAATTTAAGGTTTGGAGTGCCTCTCACTGCTGAGGGCGCTAAGAATTAGGAATTAGGACTGGATTAAAACACAGATGCAGAGTCATATTGTATTTGTGCCTAAATTAATCACCGTCCCCAGGGGGATAAAACTACATGGCTGGCTTTGGCCAAACAGAATTCAGCTCCTGAAATGGAAAGAGGGGAGTGGGCATTTAATAAAGTCAGGTTTCTCCAAGAAAGGAAAGATGTTAATAACAGAAGGGTTTGAAGAGAGAGATGTTGGCCGGGCAACCAACAGCACCTGAATGGCTATTTGTAGGAGATACTCTTGCAACAGGCTAATGGCAAAGCTGTAAAAAAGAAATAAAATAATAGGCTATAATATATATCCAACAGAGTAAAGAAAGCAGGGCAATATTAATGTTAGATGAAATGTTATTCAAGGCAAAAACATGTTAAAATGTTGGACGAAGGTGATCACTTTTATACATGAAGATACACAACAAGAAATAGCTTTGAAACTTTATTTACTTTATATTAAAATAAAAAACCAGCATTTTAGGAAAAACTAACAGAGATATATTAATTATTTTAAATGACTTTCATGTTCTTTCCTGGTCAAATATGTAATATATAAATAAGGATATAGAAAGGTATGAGACTATACATTTTATTTAATAGGTTTATATGTCAAGCCATATAACAGCAGTCTAATGCTCATGAAATTTGCAATAACTCAGGTAATTATGAAGGAAATCTCAAATTATTCCCAAGAACAAGAAAAGCACAGACCATATCTCTATGTTGAACTAAAACTAGAAATGATAAAGTATAAAGTCACTTGACTTTAAAAAATGCTTTCAATTCTAGTGTCTAATTCTAGTGTTTCACATGAAAATGCACCTCTCAGATCTTCAGCAAGGAGTGGAATTGACCAGGCATTTTGACCACTGTGCTCAAAATGACTATACGTCCAGACCACGTTTTGCGTGGGCTGTTCCCAGCCCGGGTCTGAGCAGTGGGCCTTTGCTGGGTGACTTTGGCTCAAGCGTCTTGATGCAACACTCTTAGAATGGCCACACCACCCTACACGCACCCGATCTTGTCTGGTCTTGGAAGCTTAGTGGGGTTGGGCCTACTTAGCACTTGGAGGGGAGAATGGCGCTGCAGTTCAGGGCCGCCCCTCCCTGCTGTCTTCACAGAACTCAGACCTGCATGACACTGGTAAGTCTCTCCTTGTCTCCTGGACCTCCCTCTACATCTTCCTCATAGACTTTTTCCTCATCCAATTCCTTTACGGCATTTGTTTGTTAAGGGATCTGGACTCATACAAACGTCAAAGAGTAAATCAACCCTACAATTGTGATTTATTTAGGAAATGATCATGAGAATGTTACCTACCAGAAGGGCACAACCAAATGTATACTCAGATAAATATGTAACATTATCTGTGTTCATAATTATGCAAGAAAGAATTCAGCTCCATGAACTGATGGTTTCACAAACTTAAAAAGAGAACAGCAAATCTCACCTAAATAAATGAATGAATGAATAAAGAAATAGACACAGTGTGGCTGGCAGAGTGACTACACAAACATGTCCATCCCCAAGTGTCTGCAACCTATGAATAGGTTACATTTCCTGACAAAAGGGGTTTGTCGCTGTACTTTTAATTAAGATTGCCTACACACACACACACACACACACACATATATATATAAAGCAAATTATTCTGGATTATCTAAATGGGCTCAGCCTAGTCACACAAGGCCTGAGAAGCAGAGACTTTTCCCAGGAGGAGTGGGAGGTGCACCAGCAGATGAGATCCGAATGATGTAGAGGATGACACGGACTTGACCGGCAGTGGCTAGACCGGCCCCATGGAAAACACGAGAGGCCGACAGGCAGGCTGCAGAGCAGAGAGCAGCCTCCAGCAGACAGCAGGGACCTCAGTCCTGCAACTGCAGGACACTGAGCTTGGCCAAAGTCTCGAATAAACCTGGGAGAGGACTCGGCTCCAGAGCCTGCCCAGAAAACCAACACCTGGGTTTCTGCCTTGTGAGACTAAGCAGCGGGTCTAGTCTAGCCCACCCAGACTTTGGACCCACAGAAACTGTCAGACAAGACATTTATGTTGTTCTATTTTTTCATTTACTTATTTTTAAAGATTTATTTATTTATTTTAAAGGAAGAGCTACAGAGAGGGAGAGACAGAGAGGTCTTCCATCTGCTGGTTCACTCCCAGATGGCTGCAGCAGCCAGAGCTGAGCCAATCCGAAGCCAGGAGCCCAGAGCTGCTTCTAGGTCTCCCATGTAGGTTCAGGGGTCCAAGCACTTGGGCCATCTTCCCCTGCCATTCCAGGCCATAGTAGAGACCTGGATCAGAAGTGGAGCAGCCGGGACTAGAACTGGCGCCCATATGGGATGCCGGCATTGCAGGCAGCAGCTTTGCCTGCCGTGCCACAGTGCCAGCCTTTTGTTGTTTTAAACCACTATGTTTGGGGAAATTTGTTATGGAAAATCAGGGAATAAAACACAGAAAAAATATTGGAGTGATAAATCCAACGACTCGTTCTTTAAAAAGATAGTAGAGTTTGTCCTACAGTATGCATGAAGAAAAGAGAAAATGTGAATATTAAAAATTAGAGGTGGGAAAAGACAGCAGCTATGGATACCTGTGAACCAAATAAAATAGCAAAAACATTTCAAAGCTGCAATTATAATTGAAATGAAAGCTTTATAATTATACAGATTTTAACCAAACTCCTTCAATCTGAAACAGAAGTAAGCCAAAAAAAAAAAAAAAAAGACTCAACCAGTAGGCCATTTCTTGTGTATGTGTGATCTAAACTTTACAGCTTAAAAATATAGAATACACATTCCTTTAGCACATGCACAAAAATTGACTATCCAATTACCAAAAAAAAACCTTCAAAATATTCCAGAAACTAAAACTGATATACACAGAGACATTTATTCATAATAAGATAAAACTAAAAATGAATACCAGCATAACAAAGTCCTTAACTTGGGGAAAAAAACAACCAACTCTACTTAACTGTTCAATCTAAAGAAAAATTGGAGCTGGTGCTGCGGCATAGCTTTTGAGGCTGCAGCCTGCCATGTGGGCATCCCATATGGGCGCCGGGTTCTAGTCCCGGCTGCTCCACTTCAGATCCAGCTCTCTGCTATGGCCTGGGAAAGCAGTGGAAGATGGCCCAAGTGCTTGGGCCCCTGCACCATTGTGGGAGACCTGGAAGAGACTCCTGGCTCTAGGACCTGGTGAATGTGTGGAGCTTATGAACTGAGACTGTGGAAAAAAAAAAAAAAACTGAGGGTGTATGGGAGAACTCACGGTGTGGCTAAGACTTGAGTAGTCTCAGTGGGAGATGCCACAAGCTCCGGTGGCTCTGGATACCCAGTGAGAGACACTGCAGGGGAATCTGAGCTCACACTGAGGACTGCACAGATCCTTTGTGTGGTCCCTGGGACAGAGCAGATGAATATTATACCCACCGGGGCTAGCGCTCAGGCACTGATCGCCATCAAGGAGAATAGCTCAGCTGAGTGGAATTACTTCCCTTCTGATTAAAAAAGAAAATTTACCAAGCCAAACCTGGGTATGTCACCTTAGGCACACCCTTAGCCCTGAAGAACTGAACAGAGCTCTCTGGCCACATCAATAAACCTCCAGAGAGTCACTGAAAGCAGACAGTCCAATTACAAATGCCAAATAACAAATACAACAACCGAGAAAACAAGAATAAGGAAGACAACATGATGCTCCCAAAAGAACATGACACATCAATACAAGATTATGAAGATGATGAGTTAGAAGAAATGCAAGAAATGGAACTCAAAAAATGTATAATATTTAGAAGTAACCAAAAACAAATGCATGACTGAAATCCATGCAGGACATGAAAGAACATCTCTCTCAAGAAAATGAAATCTTAAGGAGGAATAAAAATGAAATGAATTTAATAGAAAATGAAATTGAGACATTGAAGAGAAATCAAAATGAAATGAAGAATTCAATAGAACAAATAAAAAACACAGTTAAGAGCCTTAAAAACAGAATCAGTGAGGCAGAAGAGAGAATATCAGACTTGGAAAACAGAGCACAGGAAAGTATACAGTCAAACCAAGGACAAGAAGAGGAAATTATAAATCTAAAAAATATTGTTGGAAATCTACAGGATACTATTAAACAAACATTTGGGTTCTAGGAGTTCCTGAAGGCATGGAGAGAGAGAGGAAGGATTAGAAGACCTTTTTAGTGAGATACTAGCAGAAAACTTCCCATCAAGGAGGCATGTACCAATGCCACCTTACTAGTCAAAGTGATCCGTTTCAGTTCATAATTGATCATAATGATAGAATTAAGTGTCAAAGGGATCACATAAACAGACTAATATCTGCTAATAATAACTGATAGATTCAAAAAGAGAATGATCCAACATG